TCATCACACAGACCGGAGTCAAGGTTGGCTCACTCCTGGCTCCAATTAGCTCTGGGAGAAGTCATTAAGCTAAGGCCTCACATAATTTTTCCTCCCTGCACTGTGAATGTTTACATGTTATGTGTAATTAAACCATGGAAACATCTAATGTTTGTGTAGTATTATGTTCAGCAGACTGTCTTCTTCTATTGTTGTGACTTAGATGACGTTCAGAGCACATCTTATGCCCAATTCATGCAAAACTCCACGTAATCCCAAGGGGTTCACATACTTTTTCTTGCAACTGTAGAGCAGACCCAAAAAAAGGTCCTGCACCTTTTTGGTGCAGATGCTGTGCGATCTGAGCCATACATAATGAATGGCTCAAATTGCACCGCACAGAATTCGCATGTGATTTGCACAGGAATGTGGTGCAGTTCCTGTGCGAATCACATGCCATGTACCGCACTGCATTAGTGTGAACTTAGCCTAAAATAGGTATGAGATGACAATATTTACTTATTTTTTTAAATTTTAAAGTCTAAATAAAATTACAATAACAATCATACTACTGGTATAATTACAAAAACTATCCAACACTACAAGAGTTTTAAAACATTCTTGTTTGCTCTTCTGAATAGAAGACATAAGCCTCACTATACAACCACAGAGACACGTAGTAAGTTTTAGTTGTATTTTGTGTACATATTCCTAAGACTGGTATGTACAGGGGCGGACTGACCATTTGCAAACTCGGGCACTGCTCGAGGGCCCGGGGTCAGTAGGGGGCCCCATGAGATGCCCCTGGTACCTTTTTCATAGGCTTTTTTGAGTTTGGGCAAGGACACAGGGGCCCCATGATCCCTTATTGCCCGGGGGCCTCATGAGTTGTCAGTCCGCCCCTGGGTATGTATGTGCACATTGCATCCTAGCTTGATAAGTGCGTGCATACTGCTTTTGGTCTTGGTATAACCGCACTCCATCAGAGATCCCCACCTCACTAAAGACTGAAAATTCAACAAAAACATCAAACAAATGTATGACTTTAGTAAAGCTGGTAGAATTTAGAGAGTCTTTTATTCTGCACATACTATAACATTTCAGGCTCAGGGAACCTCTGCTAAAAAAATCACTATATCCATAACTCATGATGATGTGTGATGGCCAGTGGGAAGAATGCTCCTTACACTCGTGGAAATTGGGAAGAATTACCCCCCTTACAGATAGCTAAAAGATCAATAGAGTCAGTGAGGACTTATCTGAGAGGTGGAAATTACTCATTGCTCAAGGTACCTCTATCAACCTCTGGAGGAACCCTAGGATTCTATAGAAATCTGGCTGAGAAACCCTTGTCTAGAAGGAAGATTTATGCTAAAGACCCTAATCCAAACTAAACAGCTAAAAACTATCCGGCCTATCCTATCCTTTGTGTACAGTATGAACATATTAATAATGTCTATTAAAAGTGCAGAGACAAATTGACAATTTCATCTGCGGACTTCTACAAAAAAACGTTACACTTGTCTTTCATTTTTGCTCACAAGTCACTATTTTGACACATGAACTTGCAACACAGTAAATTATATTTGTATCCTTATTAATATGAATTTTTAAAATGATATTATATTTCAGCAAGTGGTGAAATATTCATAATTAGTTAAGCTATGAAAACTTTACAGAATTACAGATAAATTTAACTTCCTCCAACAATCCCTTAATTATTCACGGTCAGTTACAGGGCTTATAAATCTAAAGCTAAAATCAAAATATGAAAACTCCCTCAAGAAATGTCAGTTTTTTAATGTACATGTAGAAATGAAAGGGGTTGACTAGCACTGTTAGACTTAATTAAAAATGACTGATCACTTTTGCTTTTGGGAGTCTATCCTAGCACAAACTATAGAAGTGTTAAAATAGACTTTTCTTCAAAACCTATTTTTAATTGTGATCCTACCACTTTTACAATGATTTTCTGCAACCACAAACATTTATCTACGTACAGTGCCTATCACCTTATAAAATGAAGAATATATTAAATAATACATAACAGATCATTTTGATTCTTGTAGACTTGCATAAGTGCATGTACTGTAGTAATATTAGCAATAGGTAAGGTTTAAAAAAATTATAAAAGTGGAAGTAAAGTAAAAAAAAAAAAAAAAAAAAAATCAAATTTAAATTCAAGTTAGGTTTTTTTTTTTCATTTAGAAGAGATTTTGCATCATACATTAAAAATAGTATTAAAATACATAAGGGCAAATGCATGATTTCAATTGGCTAAATTCATTAGAGTATGTATGGTATACAAATGAAATTTTACTCTGAGAATCATCTAAAACAACTGTGATTGATACATAAAAATACAATGTACTGAATATAATGCTATATAATCTAAATGTTACTATTAATAAAGCACTGATTCAGAAAAAGGATGTGTATATTACTTACCTGGCACCAAACACTGACATCTGTAATGCAAATGCTTTTTCAGACCAAGGAAGAATAAGAATAACAGTTTAAACAATGCATCCTCAAAGACAATGTGTCAGGGCATAAGCCGGAGAATAGTGGCTCAAAGGCCTTGCACACTTGTCAATACCCAGCAGGGTCAAGTTCATTTGTAGTGCACAAATATTCGTTCATGGCGCACACTCATGTGCTCTGATGCAAGCCACATTTAATAGTTCTTGACACCCTCTGGCCTTTATAAGGATGACAGTTGCTCACAGACCTTGTTGACTGGTCTTCAGCTCCCTGATACCCAAGTTCCTGTGTGTTTATACTTCTGGACTTTTGGTTACCGATCTGGCTTGCTTCTGGACTCTCCCTTGTCTCTCTCCTGGCTCTGATCTCAGCTTGTTCCACAGATCTGTTCCTGTCTGCTTCCTGTGTATGACCTATCCTGACCATGCTTTGATCCTCTTCCTGCTGACTCCTGGTATTCTGACTTTGGAACCTGATCCTGACCACATCTCCTGTCTTGCCCTGCCTTCTGTGATCCACCTACTGCACCTGTCTGCTGTGACCTGTCTGCTGCACCTTCCTGCTGCTGTGCGCTGCCAGCACTATCCAGCACCTCTTCTAGGATCAGCATCTCCTGTCTTGGGACCACATCTCCTGTCTTGCCCTGCCTTCTGTGATCCACCTACTGCACCTGTCTGCTGTGACCTGTCTGCAGCACCTTCCTGCTGCTGTGTGCTGCCAGCACTATCCAGCACCTCTTCCAGGATCAGCTGCTCTCCTCATCTGGAGCTCATACACAGAGGGATCACCGTTACAGCATTAACTACCTTGGCACAGTTGTCAATCCCTGCTTCTCTGGGCTCCGTTTTCCCTGTCACCTTCATCAGAAACGCCAAGCACTTAGTCAAAAGGAGAGCCCTCTCATCATTTCGGCTTCAAGACCAGATACATGACACAATGGCAGCTCTTATATATTGTATTGCTAGGTTTATTTTAAATGTTTAGACAAAGGATACACATTAAATATGAACTACTGGCACAAAAACACAAATGAATATGCTATTTATTAAACGTATTTTAAAAGCAACAAGATCTAGGTTGGTATCAGCTTCATGTAATTCCCTATACAGCAAAACTCAGGCTGGGAAAGGGAAGTAACCAACTACTGGCTAATTGGGCTCTGCTACATTATTTATGCTCACCCAAAATAAACTTATAGAAGGTGAGAGCAGAGTGATTGTCAGGCCCAGGATCTGAACCCACAAGCTCCGCTGTATCTGGCAGTATTACTTCTTGCTGAGCCACTTTAGATGTTGAACTTTAGATGTTGGAGCATCCTATCTGATTTCTTGGATAATCTTGCCTTGTAACTTGTTTCTGTTTAACCTTGAACTCCTTGCTCCTCCTATGAACTTCCTATTTAGGCCATGCATTTGCACTTTCTGTTTGTATTGTGCTCTCTCCAGCCAATAATTTGCTCCTTTGAGTACCAGCAGCTGTCCTTATCCCCAGTACTACTCGTTAACAACCTTTGGTTTGTTCCTCATCTAAGCTGCAGCTTGATCCCAACCTCCAACCACTTGTTACCTACTTTTGGCATGTTTACTGACTATGCTTCTGCTTGATTCCTATCCGCTGTATTTTCTACTGGACCCTGGCTTGCTCACCTTCTGGTGGGGTGATCATGAGGAGCTCTACCTGGTACTATCACATAGCAAAACCCATCTCTACCATCAAGAGTTCTGGTGAATATCAATCAGTGCTTAGACCCCGCACCTTGGGTAAGAATATATCATCTGCCAGGGTGACCTGCATGTGTACATATCCAGATAGTTGGTAGGAGCCTTTCTATTGCTATAGCTACTGGTCTCCAAGCCTGACCCCTGACCGTAACAGCGATAATCTAATCAGTGCCGTTGCTTCTTCATTGTTCAATTGCAGCATGGAGGTGAGCAAGCTGTATTGTTTGGCTGAAGTAGATCCAGGTCAGCAACCCAGAAGTGATACCTAGCAGGACTTTGTACACATAAAAAGCCTTGATGGACAGAATGCAAATTCTTTGGATAGTAAAACAACTCGCATATACGTATGTTTGCATACTGTGAATTTAGTTGTTTGTCTGAAGTTCTACTTTAAACATTTCCTTCGTAAAATTAAATATTTCTCACACATAATTGCACAATATTTCCCATATATATTTCCCTGTTAGAGAAATTTGGACCATGCTTTAGATGTTTTTTTTGCCTTCCCCTGCATCAACTGTGGGTTTAGGGTTCTGTGGATCCACTTTTTTTTATTTCTTTTTGTTTATTGGTTGAACTTGATGGACATTTTTAATGTCTTTTATCAACAAAACTATGTAGGTTTCTTCTTTAAAAAAAATATTTACAGTTAAGTATTTAATAAACAATCATTCAATGTATTTTAAAAGTAACAAATATGTAAATGTATTAATGTTACAAAAAAAAATCACATTTAGTAATGTCATCAAAAAAATTAAATACAGTGCCTCTATGAAAACTATTATTATCTGTCATAAATAAATTATTATTACTTACGTTCTAATAACAACCATGAGACTGTATCCAAAAACACCAACACCGACCATAAAATAGGAAAGCGGCAGTCTGAATTTCAACCATCCGATTGTGCGTTGGTTGTTGTAGAAACCATAGAACAAAACAGAATATTTGGCATAACCCTGTGGAATTTAAACATATGAAAATAGCATATATCATGTTCTCTCTCAAACATTTTTTTTTCAGCTAAGCTGCTTCTTGAAGATATTTCTGTAAATTGAGGAGGTTGATAAACTCAGCAGCAGCATAAGGTGATATTTAGCGGAGACAATTACACAGCTCTTACAGAGCAGACTGTACACTTTATTATGATGTTATTAACTTGACAAGTTAATTCACAACCTCACTTACTTTAGATGTTGTTGCTAAGATCTCACAATAGTATTGTAATTGTTTTTCTATCACTCTATAAAGAACTACCCTGGTTCCTTTTAGAACACAGTTCTAAAGCTGTACTATTGGCAGACAATTACATGAACCCTTGCGGATAATAAGAAAAAAAGAATAATATACCTCAAAGTCCCAAAGCACGGAGAAATCCATAGCAGTTTTCTCTTCACTCCTAGGAACTGTCTTTCGAGGTAAACTGCCATACGGTAGACCCATTAAAATCTGGTGAGCGTAAAATGACAGCACAGTGAATGATGTGATATATTTAAATAATAACTGAATTTTAAGTTTAATGAAGTGTGAAATAATTTTAGGTACTTTTAATATTTGCAGGGCTTATCTCAACATTGAACAATAAAATGTCAAAGAGAAATTAATAAAAACTAAATGTATATTCTAGTTATCCTAGACTGTAAATATTAAATATATTATTGCTTAATTTGACTCTGTGACACCATGAAAAGAAATTATGTGAATTAGGATCTCTGGGAAAGGAAATCACGGGCAGCAATAAGTTTTAACCTTTCAAACACTTAGATTAGAATATTACCTACAAACTTGATTTGAAAAAATCTCATTTAATTTCTTATTAAAATTGTATGTTAATGTAACTTAGATGTAACTTGCAGCTTTTATTAGAATTACATACAAATCCATAGCTCTGCTCAAGACTGGCCTCTCTTGCACATTCACAACCTTGGTGCTGACTATCACAGTCAGTCTCTATTCTTCATTGAAAACAGGAAGAAATATCAGCCACATTACAGTATTGTTAATAATCAGTGAATTGACTGCATACAGTAATGTCTCCAACCCTAAATCAGCCTTGCTTGATGTGTTACGCCACTCCTTGTTAGGGGAAGTCCCTATCTTTGTGTGCAAACCAGGAGTGGTGAAATCTGCCAAGAAAGGCTGATTTTGGGTTGGAGACATTACTGTATGCAGTCGATTCACTGATTAATAAAAATACTGCAAGAAGAGCTATTTGGAGTATGGTGATATTTCTTGCAGCTTTTATTGATAGAATACCTGGTTATCCCAATATTAAGATACTTGTTCAAGTACTTCCTGTTTTTGGGTGACAACCATCTTCCAAATGTGCTCCTATGCTGTCACCCTGTCATAAGTGCACTTGATGAAGAAGCTGTTTCAGAGCAACAATGTGCAGCCCTGCTGGAGGTAGTGAAAGTAGACAGGAAGTGGCTGAAAGGAGCCGGAGGAGATCATGAGCATTGAAATGCGAAAAAGGATGGAAAAAAAGGTGAAACCAGTATTTTAGCTGTTCACTTGAAATTGGGTATGCATTGACTGTATTTTATGCACTAAGTTTGTTTCATTTAATATTGTATTTAAGGTTTTGTAATAAAAGGCTGCTATGGCCATTCGACTCTAAAATGAAATGTTGTTGTCTGGTCATTGTGGAGGAAAATGGAGGGTCTAATTTGTGTGTTGTTTATAGATAACAGGAGCCATGGCACTCTGCAGGTCCCTCAGTCATGAGTTAGAGCTCTACCGACTTCCATCACCCAATCAAGAGCAAGCAAAAATATATATTTTTTTTATTTTCCTTGCACATAATTGGAAATTCTTTGCAAAAGCAAAATTTTGCCTCATTTACTAAGCTTTGGAGAAAATTCCCTTCAGACTTAACTTCAGAGTCACAGCAGCCAGAAGCCTTGGACGCCCCCAGCCCAGTGGTATCTGTCCTGGTCAATAGACAGGAAGTCCCATGTTTAATTGGCACAGGGTAGAAGGTCACTGTTATGGAATATGACTTTTACATACCGAGATTTGGGGCACAGAACCAACTGTACCCCTGCTGGCTATCTCTCAGAGCAGCGAATAATCTAACCATTTTAGTGGAAGGCATCACCTGGATGAGGATACAAACTGAGAACCAAGTGGTGAAATGAATGAGAGTAGTGGTGACCCGCGCGCCCAGTAAACCCGACAGTGCCTGTTGTGTTGAGCATAAACATGTTAAAAGACCTAGACTTGCCCCCCCAGCTGACCATATATGAACAATCTGGCCAGTGGGCCCACAGCTATGGCTTGCGAGCAGTATGGCTTACAGTGCTCCAGGCCTTTGAAGCTCAACAGAAGGTGGCACGGAAACAACCAGAACAAATGGGGGTGATGCGCATGCCTCCCAAACAGAAGATACTGTCAACACCCCTACAGGAGTTAGTCTGGTTCCTCCCCATTGGGGTCCACTGAAAACTACAGGGATCCACTTTTAGGGTTGAACCTCACATCCATACAGTGACCTCTGGAGAATGGCTGATGGGCTGAACCTTGTTCAAGGTCCATCGTGGATGAGTCTTAGTGCAACTCATTAACCTAGGCACTACGCTCATTGCACTGTCCATACACACTAATATTGCTGACCGATGCGCGGTGCCTCACCACTGCATCTTCAAGGCCCAAATGGCATCCTGGGATGAGACCCAATATAAGTCACTCCTGGAACAGCTGCACATCCTTTTTAAAGACTTTCCCCTACCACAACAGCGACTGCTCCACCAACTTTTGGAGAAAGTTTGCCACTAGTCCAGAGGATTATGGGTTCACCGAGGATATTGACCATCCAATTCACACTACCCATCCGAGAATAGTACCGCCACATTCCCCCAGCTCTGTGCCAGGGGGTCAAGGATTTGCTTCATAATATGTTGCAAGGTAGGGTAATTCGGGAGAGTCCTTGGGCCGCCCACGTCATCCTGGTGCACAAGAAAGATGACGGCTTGTGGTTCTGTGTGGATTATCGTAGACTCAATGCTTGAACCCACAGGGATGTATACCCACTGCCTCAGATAGAAGAGTTCCTAATGGAATTAGGATAAACAAAGTTCTTCTCCACCCTAGACCTGGCTAGTGGCTAATGGTAGGTCCCGGTCTGAGACCAGGACCGAGAGAAGACCACCTTCATCACACCTCTGGGACTGTTTGAGTTTAATCAGATGCCCTTTGGCCTCAGCAATACCCCCAGTACTTTCCAACATTTAATGGAAAGACGTCTTGGAGACTGTGCTAATCTATCTCAATTACATCATGATGTTTTCCAAGACATTTGAGGACTACATCAATTATCTGGACCGGGTGCTAATGAAGAACACAAGATGCACCTGAGGTAGCAAGCTGGAGCCTAAGTGGAAGAGCACCTCATACCGGGTGGTGGGGCAAACTTTTCCACCTACCCCTGTCTATGAAAATCCAAAAGAAAAAAATGAGCGCTTGGGGGTTGGAGCATCTAGCACTAAATAGGGAGTGACAAACCCAATGTACAAAATAAACAAAACTAGTGTAGTGCATACAAAATATACAATATACATACATATATATGTGTGTGTGTGTGTGTGACAATTATCCTGAAAATATCTGCAGAATGGAGAAAGTGTCCATGTAAATAAATAACTATAAACAATTTGATAGTGCTCATAAAGTGCCACTGATTATATACAACAAAGGCCATAAAAATCTATCCCAAAATAGGAAGAAAGGTCCTATAAAGATCTCCAATGATCTTCCCATTGTGCTCAATCCGGTGTGCTCAATCCACAGAGCAAGGTCCTCCACCACCATGCACTTACCAAAAGGCTAATGATCACTAGCCTACAACCCAATCATAAGGGACCTCCATAAATTGCATCTTGGAACAGCTGGAAATACAACTGGAACAGAATTCTAGGAGAAAACGCTCACCTCACAGAGCCCAAAGAATAATATATAGTGTAGTATTTAATGTTTAAAAGGTGAATATTAAAACCAACTATAACAATCTTCCACGTGGAAACAAACAAACATTTGCGGCCAGGCTTACTAAGATGGCTGCCGGTCTGGACCTCAGGAACGGAGGTGTGAGGTTAACAAGTAAGGCTCCACTCGACGAGTTTTGTGCACACACATGTCTTCAGGAATACTCTTACTCAAGACTGAGGAGCAATCTATGTAGGTCCCTTTGATTGGATCATAGGCTTTCGACCATTAGCCTTCTGGTGAGTACATGTTGGTGGAGCTTGCACTGTGGATTGAGCACACTGGGAACACTGGGAAGATTATTGGAGATCTTTATAGGACTTTTCTTCCTGTTTTTGGGATAGTTTTTTATGGACTTTGGTTACATATAATCATTGGCACTTTATGAGCACTATCAAATAGTTTATTTACAGTTTATATGTTTATTTATTCACATATCCACTTTTGTGTTTATGGAAACTTTGTGCATTATGCAGATATTTTTAGGGTAATTGTCACACACACACACACATATATAAATGCATATTTTTTTTATACCCCTGTCTATTACCTGGTTTCCGAGGGGCCCAACCCTGTAAAAAAAGACAACTGCACTGAAACATGCTGAGACTTTGCGTACTGGGTGCTCCGAGAGGCCTGCCACTGACCCGAAAGCTTTGGAAGCTTTTGATCCTGCCAACCTTCCACCGCTCCATGAGGCTCCCACTGACTGGTTCATACCACCCCTTGTGCTAGAGTCTCCAGTCCCCATTGACCCTCAGCCCGATAGCTCTGATATTGAAAGTCCAGGTGATCCCGATAGTGCCACAGGCCATGCTGGTCCAGGGAAAAGTCCTACTTAGGGCTCAGGTGACGAAGAGCCAGAGAACACAAATGACCCCTCACCATCTGTGGCCCCCCGGGTCACTACCTGAAAATGAACGTTCGCCCACTGACTTTGTTGATAGCAAAGAGAACAGCCACCCTGTGCGGCCAAATCATGGGCAACTACCTGCCAGATTCTCTGATTATGTTGTATAACTGTATTTGTTGGTTCTGCCTTAGTCTCTTTTAATACATTTATGGTGGCATTTTATTGTGTTACGATGCAGAGGACAGCCTCTGCTAAAGAGGGGGTAGTGTAGGCAGATGTAGTCTGTTTTCTCCACTGTGGGTGGCGCTCCACAGCCTGGAGAGAAATTTAAGGGAAACATGGTTTCTCTATGGTTTCCTGGGCCAATGGAGCATTGTTCCGGTTGGCTACGCTGCAGAGATATGACCCTTGGTGGCCATCGTAGGTCAGCAGTGTCTATATAAGTCCCTGCCCCTGGATTTTGGCATCCTTTATGCAAGTGGCTAGTGTAGGGAGAGAGACCCTGCTTGCTAGGGAAAGCACTTAGCAATAGGGAAAGGTTCCAGATGAGAAGGGACAGGCTATGGATTTGCTATACTGTATGGAAACCTCCCCACTTGGGACCGGACCAGCC